CACACACACACACACACACACACACACACACACACACACACACACACACACTCTCTCTCATATGACCATGAACAGTTCATTAAGAATGTGTGCCTTTGGGGTGAAGTCTGCAGCTGAGTATTAGAGGACTTCTTGACTTCAAATGAAATAGCAAAACAGAATTATTTATAGTGTGTGTGTGTGTGTGTGTGTGTGTGTGTGTGTGTGTGTGTGTGTGTGTGTGTGTGTGTATGTGTGTGTGTGTGGCTGGTGTTAGAGTGCCCCTGAACACAAAACCCCCTTCAGCATGTATAGCACAATTATATAGGTGCACACTTAGACACAAATGCACAAGTACACACTCTGTCTTTTTCTTCTTCTTCTACACACACATACACAGACACACACACGAACACATGCACGCACACACACACACACACAAAACCACACACACGGAGACACACACAGCTCTCCCACCTCTTACCTTTTTTAATGACAGAGTGGTCGAGGATGCCCAAGGCTGATCCTTCCTCCATTCCCTGTGTCAGACAGACAGACAGTCACTATCATTTATCCACCGGCCACCATAACACACACACACACTACAACACACACTGTAACACACACACACACACACCAAACAGCTTGTCTCGCTGAGGCCAAAGCAAGATGGAAGGTCCAGCGTTTAGTTCTCCCCTCGCAGCGCATTCAAACACTATCAATATCCGAGTAAATAATAAAATCAGTTTTCTGCAGTCGAACAAATAAAAAAAAAAAAAAAAGGAGAAAGTAAAAGATGGAAGATGTGACGGATTATTCTACAGCTCACATGTGTTTGTACGCAGCTTCACAAAAAGCAAATTCTGTTATTTAGGTGTCAAATCAAACATATTTGAGTTGATAAATAATGTTTGGATGAGATGAGCTGCTTCAGGTAGAATGACTGAATGATTTTAACTGAACCAAATAACATTTAAAAGAAGTGACGTCCTTCTTTTACATATATGGATCCATGTGTGCTGCCATACATACATATATAAATATAAAAATATGTACATATTTCTAACACACACACATCATTTATATATAAAAGGAAGCATGTCTTTTATTTTATATTCTGTGTCTGTGTTATAAACACAATGAGTTCAATAAATATTCTTTGGACAAATAAGTTTCTCCTTTTATATATTTGTATATAAATATAAAAGAAACCAACTTGTATTTTACTACACACACACACTCTCTCACACACACACACATATAAGACAGCATTTTAGTAGATTTCACATGAAGAAAGTATTTTACATTATATAGACACAAAATATTTATATATTCTCCGCGCGTGTGTCTCTCTCTCCACAAAAAAAAAAACAAAAAAAAAAAAAAAAAAAAAAAACAAAACAGCTTCAACAGTAATTGAACCGAATCTGACCGATTTCAAAACCGAAATTGAAACCATTGAGATGTATTTGATCTTTTCTCTCGCTGAGGATAAAATCGCCTCTCGGATGTGTCTCCTTTGTGGGGACTCTGTCAGAGGGTTCAAACGCTCAGGATATAATCCATTAATCAAATAAAAGCTGCTGGTCGTTTAGCAGCCACTGACTCCTGCCGCCGCCGCCGCCGCGCCGCGTCTCTCCGCTCCGCGCCCTAATGAGCGTGTTCATCAATTGGTCTCGGTGTGTTTTTCTGCGAGGAGCCAACAAACAGCGGCTGCAGCTGCACCTGCTGCAGGGAAGCTGACTGCTCAATAAACCATAGAAACTATTCTTCTCCGTGAAAACCTGCACAAGGCAGAAGGCTGCGACCTCACTTTGTCTCGGAGCGACTCCACGACGCGGCGTGGATGAATAATAAAGTGCTGTGGGACCAAATAACCGTCACCTGTTTTAAATATCAGAGCCCGTGTTTGACAAAAGACACGTTTTTATTGGCTCTGACTCATTAAACTCACAATAAAGCTGCTTTATTTCGACGATAAAATCTCATTCAGCGTTAAGCTCAACTTTAAGAGAGAAAAAAATAAAATGACAAAATGTGCAGGACAGCATCCCATGAATCCCTCCTGATGCAGAAGGATTAATAAGAATAAACAAACGATTTTAAAATATTAGATTTGGAAATAAAGAAGCCAATATTTCAGTTTCATTTAGTCTTGAAGAGGCAAAACGCAGCTGTTTTCCTTCTGGGCTCCAAAATGAATTCCAAAAGATTTTGGATCAAATTTAAACCGGCTGAAGGCCTTCAGGTGGTTTTAAAAAAAATGAACAGGTGGAAAATTCAAGAATTCATTAAAATGGTTAATAAAATATCACAGTCGTTAATTAAAGTCGAAATGTTCTTTTTTACTGTGAGCTTTTCTTTATAAATCGCAGCTTTATTTAAAGGAAACAGTGAAATGGAGGAAATTTGCCCTGAGGCCTTGTTGCCATCACGCGTGTGTTTTTTAAATAATGGGAGGCGTTTCTAAATATATTTTACGTAAAAGGTGATAATCATAAAAACAGCTTAATTTAACAAATCGAAGAAGCATTTTTTGGTCAATACATTGTGCGTCTGGATCGCGTGCCGAGTGACTTTTACGCACGGATTTCCAAACGCGCAGCGCCAACTCAGCCACAGGATGGAAAAAGGATAAAACAAGTCACCTGAAGATCCTCCAGGCCGTGGTGTCCCAGGTGCATCCCGAGAGGTCCGTCCCCGAGCGCCGCAGCCCCTTCCCCGAGACCGTGCAGCAGCCGGGGCACGGCTGGATACTCCCGACGGGGGTCGAGGCTCAGAGCCCGGTGTGACTGGGACAGCAGCCCCCCTTCCTCGGAGCGCGACCTCTGTGAGTGCCATGCCGCCTGCTGGTGCTGATGGATGGAGTTGATGGAGGGGTAGGGGTCCGACAGGTGGGAGTAGGCAGAGTCCTGGCTCTGGGAGTATGGCAGGGACGACTGTGGGTAAGGGGGAGGGAAGTACGGAGGCTGGAAGTCGGAGGCCGGAGTGTGGCAGAGCGGGGGAGCCGAGGAGTAGGCGGCCTGGTTCAGGGAGGACAGCTGGGAGAGGCGCCCACTCGGCGAAGAGCCGCTGAGTCCGTCTGCGCGGTCCTGCAAAAAAATAGAAAGTTGTCCTCGTCAAAGTGTTTCCCCAAAGGTGCAAATCACAACCGGTTATTTCATCAAGTGTCACACAGAGTCCAGCAGTTATGAGCTCCGAGGAATGTCATGTTTTTAATCTTCAAGATTAATTGCATCAATTAACCAAAATACACAAACTTAAAAAAATATATACATAAAAGCAGTTTAATGTAGCACAGAAAAAAAAAATCCATAAATGAATGTATTTCCATTTTATTAGAGGTTGGAAATAGCAGCAGCGGATGAAGTGATGCGCTCTGGCAGAAGCCGCCTTTGGCATCGCTGCTGAACAGTGTCAGAAAGGTCACCGCCACCAAGAAGCTGCACAAAGGACAGGTAGTGCACAGCAACAACAACACGTCGCTCCGGGAGGGGGTCCATCTGCACATAATCTGCAAACGTGTCAACAAGAACGAGTTGACCCCGGCGCTCAGGATCCAACCGAAGGGGTTCACTGAGGCTGCAGAGGCGCAGGAGAGCAAATGTTAATTTAATCTGACTTTACAAGTTCGACCCCATCGCGTTCAGAGAGGCTCCGGCAGCACGCAGCGGGTGTAAAACATGTAGTCCACTAGCCTACATTTCTGCTCACACACTTCCTGGTAGAATTTGATTTTTCTAAAAAGCTGGGTCACCCGGATCGATGCTGCTGTGGCGGAACAATGTCCATTATCTGTCAGCCAAAGAAGGCCACGTCCACGGCTCATGTGTGTCACAGTGGCCACGCTCGCTGCGCAGGATTTCAAATTAGATTCCAACAAATTCAAAGCTGCAAAACAGACTGACGACCGTCCTCTGCGGCCTGTCACAGCTTCTGAAGCGACTGGACACTTTGCTGTGACACTGTGCAGACAGACAAAGAGCATCTCTGCGGACTGATGCGCGGCGCCGCAACTCAGTGACAGAAAGGCTCATTTGGACACCTGACGCTTAATTTTTTACCGAGAGCGAAAAACAAAACACGTTTATCGGAAATGTATTTAACTATAATCCAACAATTACTGAGGATTATTAATCCCTGCACGCTTGTCATTGTGTCACAGGTTTAAAAATGCAACACACTGGTTAAATCTTTTTTTTCCCTGCATCTTAATTTACACCACATTTTGCTGTTTTTAAGTGATGATAGCGAATTTTACGCACGTTTTACGCACCGTCTTCCAGCTTTTATCTACTGATACTCGGCACAAGAAATAAACTCCTTCCTAAATTTGAGTTGCATTCGTGCTGAGGAGCCATCAGCTTTCTAAAAGTGCTCGGAACACGAGTCTCGGTCACACTCACCATAGCCGAATAGGTGTGGATTAACATCTGGACCACTCTGGATTCCCCCAAATTTAAAACTCAGCAGGATGCGCAGCTTCCAGAGGCTCAAAGGTGTCACCAAATGCTCCGAGATCCGTAATCCAGGCTGGTTTTATGGGTCCATTAAATTCGCAGGTGTCGGTATTTACTTTTCCTTATCTCTGCGTGTGACTGAGCTCTTTACGCGCAGATGAAAAGCCACTGCCAGATATACACACACACGCGCGCACAACACGCACAGAGTCCTGCAGCCTCTCCATGAGCGCACTACTTATAGGGTTTGCGCGCACCCGGCAGAATAAGGGGAGGGGTCGACAGGGTCCACTTCTCTTAAAGAGATATATTCATTCAATTGCTTATAAATTCACACACTCAACTGTGCCATTAGATGTTCCTTTTAATTATGTTGTGGATTCTACGCGCCGAGTGACACCACAAACTAGTTCTTGCTGTTTATTTTCTTAAGAAATATCTCAAGAAAAGGCACATTTTCAACATTAAAAATCAAATTCTGTGATTTCCTTTATCGGCGAAGCCACGATTTTGGATGCTTTTACGCACGAACATCCACATTACTTCAGTCAAAAATCTTGAAGATTTATGGTTTTAAATTTAAACGACTGTCATTCTCTCCGTTTATTTTATTTCAACCTAAATGTTTCACAGCCTGAATTCGTTTAACTGAAATATTTTCTTATTTAAAAAAAAAAAAAAAAAAAAAAAAAGGCGAATAGGCCACCGTGTGCAGCCTTTTACGCACGGATACAAACAACACAACATAAACAACTGCTGAAATAAGAAGCACAACAATAAAAACAAAACAAAACAAAAAACATCTGTGTCGTTTCCTTTACCTGCAATCCGTCAGTCTTGGTCCGGGATTTCCAGAGCATGGTGGAGCTCGGTCTGGGTGTCAGGCTGCAGCCGAAGGGGTTAATGTGACGCGGCGGATGGAGAGGAGACGGGCTGAAGGTACAGAGAGGAGTGAGTTAGTTTGAGAAGGGATGCAGGAGTTTGTATGGATGAGTCAGAGAGAACAGAGACGGGCGCTGGGGGAGGAGGGGGGTTAAAAGAAAAGGAGGGCGGGAGGTGACAGCAGTCGAGTAGGGGGGGAGGGGGGGCAGCTGAAAACTTTTTCCACGGTTGGTGCGTAAAAGACAGGATCAGGGATGGAGCGGTTGGAGATAATCACAAGGAAAAGGATCGCTGATTTAAACCAAGACGCCCTTCTTCCCTTTCTGTATCACATCAACTTCTAAACAATTTATGATTTTTGTTTTCATTTCAGTGGATACATCCCAAAAGGAGAACGTTTTCCACGTCTGGTACGTAAAGGACAGAATCAGTTCGTGCAAGAAACAGGGCGACTGGTGATAATCACAAGGAAAATGATCACTGACTACAACAAAGATGCATTTTTCTTCCCTCATTCTTACTGTTTCATATCAACTTCTAACACAGTGATGGTTTTTGTTTCTGTATCAGTGGACACATTCCAAGCTGAGAATTTCCAAATTTCTGACTAATAAAATTATCTGGTTTTTATTTCCTGGTGCCAAGAGCATTTAACTCACCACTTCTGTGATTAAAATTGATTTAATAACTCCATTTTGTGGTCATTTTTCATGCTTTTATGTTTTAACGATCCCATCCAGTGGCCTTCATTCACTAATCCGGTTATCTTGGGATAAAAGGAACAATAAAAACACACATTAAACTCTGCAAACACACTGAAAGGAAGAGTTAACCAGTCACCAAGAACTTTAGCACACATCAAGTCAGTGTGCGCCATCTTGTGGTAACTAAGAGGACGTGATTATTGAAAGTGAAGGATCCATTATCTTCACCCAGCTGGGATGTTCAACGCACCTCAGACCCGTTTTCTTTTCTTTTCTTTTCTTTGGTAAATCTGTGGAAAAATGTCTGGCTGCTGCTGAAAGCGCTGAAGCTGCAAGAGAGAAAAATTAACGGTGACAACAAAGCTTGCTGTTCTCTACCAAAATAATTCTTTATTAAAGGCATTTACATTCCAACATATACGTGTAACAAACAGCGCTGTGGGTTCGTCTCAGTCGAGGTGCGCCTTCATCAACAGTTTAAAATTCGGAGGTTTCACTTCACTCCCGCCGACTTCTTCAGGTTCCTCATTCTGCTCAGAGCTCCTTCATCGCTCCTCGCCATCATGTCTCTGATCTCCTGCCTGCAGACAGGACACTGCTCGGCGACGGCACACAGCGCCTCCTCCAGAACCTCCTCGGTGTGTCGGTCCGGCAGAACGCTGCACTGATGCAACATGCCGAGCGTGTGTCGGAGCCAGCCTTCCTGCCGGACCAGGGAGCAGACGGAGGGCTGGGCTCGAGCGCAGCCTCCCAGAGCCTGAAGACTCAACCTCCAGAGTTCCGCGGCTTCGTCCCAGCTCTCCTCCCAGCTGGGGCTGACCTTAACTGGACCGGAGCCGGAGCCGGAGTCCAGGGCGCCGCAGAGGAACCGGAGAGCTGCGGAGAAGAAACGCCTCTGACCTGCTTCCACTGAGCCTGGAAAGGACAAGAGAGCCCGTTGTTAAATGTAGAAGTTAACGAACAGTTCAGCACCAGAAGTACTTTGACAAGAACAAAAGCAGAAGCTCCCACGCGATGTGTTTCTTATTGTGTTCTGTGGTTGTTTCAATAAACCTCACAGCCTGAGCCAGGACCACGTTCTTCCTGAAGGACGCAGGAAAAGCAACAACTCATTGTTCTATTTATGCACCAATAACAAGACAAACTATTCTTTGCTGTTTATTTTCTTAATAAATGAACCAAGAGAGGCACATTTTCAGCATTAAAAATCTAATTCTGTTAACTTTTTGCACCGATATCCACGTCACAATCAAAAACTCTGACAGGTTTATGGTTCTACATTTAAACGATGGCGTCTCCATGCCAGGGATGATTTGTAATAAAGAGTAAAAATCCACAGTGCTCTCTGTTTGGAGACGCTGGTATGGATCCTGATGCTGCATTTATTTATTAAACTCAGAGGATAAACTGCCACAAACAGCTGGAAGCAACAAACTAAACTTCTGCTCCGGTTGATGTTTTGTCAGAATCTGAATTTCATTTATACCTGAGCTGTTTGTGTCTGTTCTAACTGGAGTAAATGTGTGATTTTATGGACATTTGTAATAGATGTAGAGCAAACAGAATGAGAAATGTTTTCTGTCTTTTGCTCTCTTTTATGTTTTTAGATCAAAATCAGTGTTTCAATGAGGAAAAATCCAGTTTTTAAAAATCTTTCCACAGAGCTTGAAGTATGTTGGAGCAGTTCAGACGTGAGCCGTGCTAAAAGCTGGTAAGATTGTTGTCGTTTACAGAAAAGTGAGCTTCACACACGAAGCCGATAAACTCAGCTGCTGTCAGATTCATGAAAAGGTCTGAAAGGAGCTTTAAAAGAACAGATGCAGTCGTCACATGTGGACACCAGGGGGCAGCAACACAGACATAAAACCACCATCTTTGGTCTTGTATAGGAGTCACTGTCTTTTCTGACATCCTGCAAATACTGAGGTTTGTTTCTGACCTCCAGATGAATCTAAATTTAATGTTTGTTACCATTTTAGTCGTATTTTTGGCTTCTAACACCAACTAATAAAGAGAAAGTATCTCAGTCCAACTTACAGCATCGACTTTGTTTCAGGTACGTACGAGCTTTTTTGCTGCAGGTTCAGGAACGTTGAGAAGGTTTTAGGAGTCGAGCTGCTCCTCTGTCTGACCCAGAGTTATCTGATCTGCCTTCTTGTCTTCCTTTTTTCCCACAACTACAGGCAGAAACCCGAAGTCTGACTAACAGCATGAGTAACGGCTGCGATCCTCTGAGGTTTAACAGTTTACACAGACGTTTTTCACAGAAGGCAGAACCATCGTTTAAATTTATTGGTAAAACCTGAGAAGTGAGTTTGACTGAGCCAGGCTTTATCTGGGTTCAACAGAACCTACAAGCCCAGTCAGAGTATCACAAGTTTCTCTGTGAACCAGGTTTTCATCTTCAGGTTCTGAAGAAATAAAAGGCAGCGTTTAAAGCATCATGTGACTCTTCTTCAGCACCAAATGGACCAATCACGTGCCACCATATTTGACTTAGAGAAGGAAACTAGAGAGAATATTCACGTTTATGATCATAAAAAGCGCTAAGAGTGAACTGTCAGTGCTGTGAGTTGATTTATTTATTTTCTCACCATCAGTGCAGCTGCTTATTTAGAACCTACAGCTGCACATCGGAGCTCTGAAACTTCAAACTTCCTTCATTTAAACATCAACATTCAGGTCTGACATTGTCTCATAATGAAGGAGACGTGGAAATCAGTTTAGTTTTTGGATAAATCAAAGTGAAATTAATGTTCTTGATGGAATATTTTCTTTGAAAAATACTCATCGACTAAATCAGTTTTCTAATCAGGGAGGAAGTGGAGTTTAAAAATGTGTCAAGAACATGGCTGCCAAATAAAAACCCTAAAACAAAAGCTGTGAAAATGACTGTAGAATCCCCACAAGTTTCACCTGAAGGAGCCGACTTCAGTCTGCCAATCATTAGACCCAAAGTGCAGTAATTGGCTGCCAGGACCAGGAGGCGGGGCTTATTCACCAAAACAGGAAGTGCTTCACTCAGGAGGGCCTCCAGGGATCGGAAACACGAGTCCTTTCTGGAAACAAACAAGTTTTTATTTAACATCCGTATCGATGAATTAAAGTTCACAGCTTCAGAGGCGTGTTTGTGTGATGGAGCAGCGACCTGACTCTCTCCGGCTCCGTCACGGTGAAGTTAAGAAGGGCTGAGCAGGCGGTCTCCATGCTGGGGTCCCTGATCATCGTCGCCCCGCTTTTCCCCTTCATGGAGGTCCAGCACCGAGACAGGAAGTCCACCAGCAGCGCCGGAGTGTCAAGGGTGAGCAGAACCTTCCTCGGACCTTCTTCCGCCGACAGGTGGCACAGAGCTGGAAGGAGATACCTGAAGGAGGAGGAGGAGCAAGAACAGAGGGTCAGTGCATGAAAAGCCTCCACCGGACCTCCTCAGGTCTTCATCTACCAGAACTTTAGTACATTTACTGAAGTCATGCAAAATCCTGCCTTCATACTCTGAATGTTCTCAGAGCTACAGGCCCTGAAAGTACATAGAGGTTGAAATTTTGCACTTTTTCATTTGGATTATTCATTCCTGCACTTCTTAGACCTCGTAATCTCAAAGACGAAACATTTCAGGGCTGAAAAAACATTTCAGTTCTGATGGAAACTGATGATAGTTTAGTGAACGTTTCCCTGCAGAGTGTTGATCCGCTCTTTGGATTCCCTCCCTGACATTTATAATTAATATCCAATAACAACAGCGTTATTGTCACCTCAGAGCCTCGCTGCCCGTCCAGCCGTCTCTCTCCTCGCTGACCGACATCGTGTTCATCCACTCGGGCAGGTTCTGCTCCGAGCTGCCGTCCTGCAGGTGGTTCCGGCTGTAGCTGACCAGGAATGGCAGCAGCTTGGTCACTTCCTCCTTCAGGCAGGACGTCTCCTCGGCCAGCCACGAGCACAGCGAGCGGAAGGTGGCGAAGACGAAGGGGTCGCCGTAGCGACTCGGATCCACCTGCAGCCAACGAAGAGGGCTGTGTTAGAAAAAGCTCTGAGGCAGCAGCGTGGTTAACGTTGGAGCTGCAGCGCTTCATCGATCTGCTGTCGCCAGATATTTTAATAACCAGGTACAACCCAAACATATGACTGAACATCTGCTGCTTTGGGAAACACGGATTGTTCCTTTAAACATGTCCGACATTTCTTTTTTAGACCAAACAATGACTCAGTTAATCAAGAAAACCACTGACAGACTAATTGACAGTGAAAATTACAGTTCGTTGCAGTTCTAGACATCAGTGAACAGAAGCAGGAATAATAAGTGACAGCAGGAACTGAAAGGAAAACAAACAGCTGCACAGCGATGTTACCATCTAGTGCCAAGAACTGACAATAAGAATAAATAAATCCTAACTTGCAAACAGAAATACAACAACTCCAAATCAGGGATGCCCGATATATCGGCGACCGCATCGGCTGATATTAGTGCTTTTTCCCATATTTGGGCATCGGTCAGAAGAACAAATTTAGCCGATGTAAAAAAAACAATGACTGTCTAACATCAGCGCCTTCGTCTCTATGTTTGATATCGCTGCTATTTCACAGATATTTTCACTTAAATAATCCTGGACTTGAACGTTAAATACGTTAAAATATCTTTAAATATGTTTTATTTTTGTTACGTGGTCTAATCTGGGCTTCTTCTGAATAGTTTCCTCACAGTGCTGACTTATACTCATGTTTTGGTGTGAACAAAAACTGAGTATCGACATCGGTAATATCAGTTATCGGCGATATCAGAAGTCTTAATATCGGATATCGGTATCGGCCAGAAATCTTAATATCGTGCACCACTACTCCAAATATTTATAGTCTTTTTTTGGGCAGAAATATTTACATGAAAGATGCATACATGCAGCACATATACATAAAATATTTTGGTGTCCTTTGGTGGTTTAATGTGTGCCAAGTTCAAGAAAAGTTATTTGTCTTTCAAAATAAAAAGTCCAATATTCTATTCCTTTTTTCTCCTGACAGAATTCTCTGCTACTTTATGTTTTCTTCCTACACAATAAAAGCCCTAAAATGTGTTTTAAGGACTGCATTCCTATCATATTCTTAAATATGTTTAAATAAATCATGTAAAATGCAACAAAATATATCCGAAGGTAAAAGTGGAAAGAATTATTTTAATCTAATTTTAATGCAATAAACAAATTAACAGAAATCAGATTTTCTTTCTTTTTTGTTTTTTTTAGCAGAGCTGCAACTTCAATAGTTGTATGTTTATTAGCTTCCAGACTAGTTACCAGGTTATCCATTTAACACGTATTTATTATTTATTCCTATGCAGTGCACATTTCTGGCACAGCACCTGGAGGATCAGTCTGGTGCAGAACGAGTGAAGACGTTTCATGAACAGGCAGCTTGTTGTGTGGACAACCAGTAACCATCACGTGACCTCCTCACCTGCTGCAGGTGGTACATCAGAGCGGAGAAGGCCTCCTCCAGAACCCCCAGAACCTGCCGGCTCTGCTGCAGACTGAGTCCAGGCACGGAGCTCTGAGGAGCCGCCGAGGGCTGACTGCAGGCCTGCTCGATGGCCGCCTCCATGATCCGGTAACAACCTGGGAGGAGGAGGAGGAAGAGGGTGAAGAGGCAGAGGAGAAAGAAGGAGGAAGATGAGGAGGAGAAAGAAGAGGGAGAAAAGGACGAAGAGGAGGAAGAAGGAGGACAAGATAAGAAGAAGAAGAAGAAGAAGAAGGACAAGATAAGAAGAAGAAGAAGAAGAAGAAGACCACATGGGCGTGTTATAATATCCACACTGCTGTAATATATCGTGTGACAGAAACAGATTTACTATGTTCCAGTACACAGCTTGTCAAAAAGCCTAAACACCAGGTTGTCCTCCTATACGTGGTCAGATTTGACAGTTTTTGCAGCCAGCAAGCTTTCTTTAGCCGTTCTGACCCACAGCTCCCTGTGCAGCGCCACCGCAGCGTGAACATAAACAGGTTTAAGCTGCAGACGGCTGGTTTCACTTTACAGACCGAAACAGTCAAAGTTTGGGACAAAGTGTTCTCATGAAGCAGCATCTGACAATCACATGGCGCTGCATGACAGTCTGTACGTTCTAGAGAAACGGTTTGTAGTTGAAGTAAAATTTAAAAAAAAAAAAAAAAAAAACTGACTGAATAATGAAGCTGAAGTTGTTTAAATCTGACTACATGGCAGAACAACATTATAAGTCTCTATTATAAGGAGACGCGGCATCAAGTCAAACAAAAAGTGAAATTATAAAAGCTAATGTTCTTAAATAATGGAAGTTTCAGTTGCTAAGAAATAAAATAAAATAGACTTTAAAAACAAGGTTGTAGCTACGACTGAGGACAACAAGGTCAGTTTCTTGTTGACTTTAAATCAACAGAGACGGAGTTTATATTCTGCAATTACATGTCAGGCTTTAGAGGCTGATTCTGATATTCTTAAGTCAAACTTCTGCTCCAGAATTACATTCATGTCATTGTGGGAAAAGCCTGTAAGTAGGGCTGAATGGTGGCAAAACTGTGATTATTTTAACAAATATTTAACTGCGATACGAGTTAAGACTTTAGTGGAAATGGAGATTTAAAAAAAATAAAAAATCTTTTTCACACAAAAAAAAGTATATATATATATAAATGATGTGATTTGTGCTGCATTTTAAATCAAACAAGCGTTTTTCCTGCACATCTGGAGAATCTGATTTAGAGGAAAGAGCTTCTCAGCAGCAACACAAATCTTCATTTATTTATTCATT